AACATTCATAGTTACCAAGAGGAAGGCACCGGTAGGTAGACAATTTTGAAGATGATAAAGGTGAACATAATTCATGGAGCAAAACTCTTAAGATATGCAGGACAATAAATTTATAGCACAAAGGCTGAAAGCAACCATAACACGAGTTGAAATAGAAGATAATAAATGAGCAGTGACATTTAGAAATCCTCATCTATCACAGTTTTCTTAGACATTAGGGGTCACCCCAGGGGAGATGCAAGACAAAAATGCTGGGGGCAACGCGACTTATGGAGTCTTTCAGTAGAAAATTAGGAACTATTGGCCCAGTTAAAGTTATAAACATGAGATTTGTCAGCCAGGAAATGGACAGTGGTGCATTCTTCCATCCTGCAATACCTGGGAATAAAGGAATGGGGCTAGCGTTAGATCAGACCTAAGGACTGAACAGATGTTACTCTGGAGCGAAATCAGTTGGGAAGTGTGGATGAGAAGACAGTAAATGAGGGATTTTGAAGGGTTGTCCAGGGCCAACGGCTTTGAAGGTCAATTAAAGTGGAAGACTAAGGAAATGGGATAGGTCCGTCTTTTAGGAGGAACACAGCTGAAATTTCTGGCCCTGATTGAAGGGAAGTGTGTGAAATGGAGCTAATTTAGTGAACTGGGAACAAGGCGACGGAAAGAATAAAATCTGAAATATTGGTCAGGGAGAGAAATTTATAGATATCTCAAGGAAGGAACAATTCTAAGCCGTATGTTTATTCTACTGAAATATAAAACACTGAGATGGGAATTAAAACCATGACTTTTACTTGATTTGCATTAGGAGCTAATAGATAGCATGGTTATTTTCATAGCTTCATGGAAACTCAAACTCAGTTTTGCCTTGAGTCCCACCTCTTTAGGACCAACTTTTGCACAGATGTGTTGCACTAGTGTGTGGAGGAAAATTTAATAAAGGGCAGATTTTGAACTTGAGTCTAATATCTTAAATGGAGGCATGCTTTATATTACATAAAATGTATCATGGAGTCTTACAGAGTCAGATGCTTCACCAAGCGTCTCTCTTTCTAACACCATGGGGAGGCACAGTATATCTGTGCATGTTTGTTAACCGCTCACCGTTGTAAACAGTACTAAAGAAACAGAGCTGCTTGCACATTCTGCAGTTCAGGACCTGAGTGGAAACAAGCGAATGCAAACGTGTTCCTACCAGAGAGGTTCTGTTAGACCGTGTTTAACAAAACTCATGTTCAGCAACACGGTTTTTCAAGCACTTTACTATTTGGCTAAATAAGACAGGCTCAGTGAAGAAACTGTGAGTCTGTGTGCTGATAGGGGTGGGGACAGGCTCAGTGTGGGGTCCCAGAAGCCCAGATATTCCAGGTCCAGGCTTTGATCCCTAGCACTGCAAAAACAAAACAAATAAAATGTGGTGATCAACTGAAATAAGTTAATCTGCAAAAACAAATCCAACCAAACATTATGCAAAACATTTCTCCAAGTGGCTTTGCCTGTAGAAAAAAGGGAACTTTAGAAACCTATTGGAGGCTGCCGCCCACTGCCCTTAGCCATGCAGTGTTGCAAATGCGCATCTCTGCCTCTGCAGCTGCAACAACAGACCGCAGCCCCTGCACCTGGACAGAATACGGACTCCCACAAGTGGCTCTTCTGCACGGAACGTTTGCTGTCGAGTTTACTGATAAATACTTTTAAACATCTGACTGTATTAAGAATGGTGAAGCATCTTCAAGATTTGATATCTTTAGAAGCACAAATTAAATCATTTAATAATATGTTAAAGAAAAATACATTATGTTAGTTGAAGGAAACAATGATTCTCATTTGGATAAGTAAAAGAAAACTGGACACGTTCTTGGGAATCCATCTTACAGTTTGTTCACAAGATCCTTCTTCTACCCTTGTTGATCACAAAGAGGCTTACTGGTTTATTCTAGTGACTTCTCCCTGGGAATCTGTTATGTATCTGACCCTATCCCTTGACTATGTTCACGTAATAACATTTCAAAATAGAATATTTTACACTTGATAAATTTCAGTCTCTTTCCCATTCATATATAGAAATACTTTTTAAAAATGAAAAGCAGGGCCAACTTAAGACATACGAAATGAAAATAACTTTGATTTAACTTGAGTCTATGTTCCCCTTTTTAAAGTTATATACAAAGGAATAGGAAAAATGTATGCATTTATTGATATTTAATTTAGTTTAGTTTGCGGATCTGTTATGCAAACACTAAACCGCATTGGTCTGGAGGTTTACAAAACCATTTCTCTGAGGTTATGTGGCCAGCCCAAGTTCACTCTGAGAAATAAAAGGCTCCTAACACTTAATGATTTTATTGACCAATAAACCCATTTTACATTAAGTGACTTAAAAATTTTGTTCTAATAGAATTAAATTCTTCTCACTCTGCTATGTGGTTTCTATTATTTAACTTATTCTGTTGTATAAGTTTTATTTTACCAATTGTTTATAACAGATTTTATTTAGTGTTAAAATCATAATTCTCTCTCATAAAAATGTCTTGCATATGCATTTGCAGAGTAAGGGGGGATATCTGGAAAATTTTGAAAGTTTTAATTAACCGCAATAAATTTAAACATATTTAGATATATTTATCTCTACACTTTACCTGAATTATTTCTAAAATCAGATCGGTGGAATATTTTAAAATAAAAGAACTCAGATGATATTATTAGAAAGAAATAATGTGATGTTTCAAAGAAAGCACACAGACATTTCAAGCACACAATATTTTAGAACTAATGGAAGAAAATGCCCTTGGTGAGCTTTCCAGGACAATTCTGGGAATCCCTGGCCAACAACTAATTCCAAAATCATAACTGAGAAGTGGAGAAGAAATGTGTGTTAGATGCAGATGTGGGAGAGAAAGCTAATGTTTTCCTTGTAGTTTCCATTGTTCTCTGACTCTGTCCTGCTCATATAAGAAAAACTTGTAAAAATACAAAGGAAAGTAACCTGGAGAAATAATAAATTCAAGTGGAGATTTGCAGTTGACTGCAAAGGGAGGAGACAGCTAAAATGGAAACGTGATGAATATCAATTCCACAATTAAATAACATGGATTTCTCTTGAATAGGAACATAATTTAATCAAACATTTGTCAATAAAAATTTAAAGAGTAGCCTTCTTTCTTACTAAAATATTCTCTCTCTGGGGTATCTTTACTAGCTAAATGTTTTGCCTTTTCTTTTCAAAGCCCGTGGCATTATTGTTCTGAGCACAGTTATCAGATGTGCCAGCACTGCCCATGTCATCTTCAGTGTTTCCTAGAAGCCAACTGTTTTGCTAAAAACACATATTTGAAAGTATCTGTTTCATAATTTTACTGAAGCTCTGAAAGATAAGACAAAGAAGGAATCTGTCTGAGAGGTGATTCTTAAAGGTTAAAGCGCTTATCCGTAATCTCTGGATTCTGTTCCTTCCGGTTCCCTGCACCATACTCAGTATGTCCCTCTAGCTGTCCACTCCTCTCCACCGACCAGCCCCTCACAGGTCCCCTCGGGAGGCACTGGGCTCTCCCTGTTTCACAGCATCCACCTTTGACTAACTCATACGTCCATTCATCCTTTGGGGCTTCTTTTGATTTGATTGGTATTTTTATAAAATAAGAAAAAATGTAAAAGTAATCATTGTTATGTTGAAACCACACGTCTGATGTTTTGAAATTTTATACAAACACAGGGATGCCAACGTGTTCTAGCATCACCATTACCACCACTGCCCCAGTGTCAGAGGGATGCAGAATGTGGGAACGCCATGCTCTTTCTCCCACTTTTTTGTTTGTTTCCCCTGCATCCATATCACTTGGCCTGGACTTTGGGGAACTCTGAGTGTGTCCCCACTTCCTAAGCACTGAGCTGAAGTCGTTCTAAGTCACCCTCTAGGTGGGGGCCGCAGTGTGGCAGCTGCAGGAAACCACAGAACTTGTACACAGAGGGAGAGGAGATTTCTTTGCCTTTGAAGAGCAACTGCTAGGAATCCCAGAGGGTTTTTTTTTTTCCCCTCTAAAACTCCCTTGCCAGGAAATTTGTTCCCTTGGGAGAAAATTAGAGCCAGTAAAGGGGCACTTAAAAACGGAGGAAATCTGTCATGTGAAAGATAACACAATTCTGAAATGAATTTCTTTGTATATATCTCACATCGGGTGAGCATGTGACTCTGATTAAATGGAAGGTATTATTTTACATTTTACATTCTTCTTTGCATAGATTTTTATTTCAAAAATGTGTTTATCTTTTAGCAACCATTTTGCATTAAATGTTTCTTGAAATATCTGTGCCATATAAACCATTTTCATACTTTCAGTTACTTGAATACTTATTGAGCTTAGGGCTGTGGTAAATCATTGTGTTGTCCTTTGAGGGAATGAAAAAACAGAAGAGACATAAACCCTAAACTTCATGGTTATGTAAATGTTCTAAAGAAAATTAAATGCAATGTTTTCCAAGTGTACAGCACTGCCTCAGGCAGGACTCAGAAGTCTGAAAAATACTATTGATGCAAACTATTTTATAATTACACTGTAAATAACTTGAGAATAATTGATTTTAACAGCACAAGTAAATAACATATCAATTTTGATGTCAAACCACTGAACGTATTTTTGTTCAAACACAATAATATACATCTTTGTAATTTATAACCAAAGGGTGACTTTCTGTACTAAAAAAAAAAAAACCTAACATTTGGGAAATGATTAAGGTGCAGTAAAATAATAAATGTATATGAAATTTTTAATGATGGCTGATCATGTATTGACATAAATTAAGACACTTAATAAATATTCATCACTTGCTTGTCAAAAACATGTCATAAGCACTAAAAAACTATACTATATACATAAAGTTCACATAAAGGCTACTTAAGTCTCCAAACACATTCTCATAATAAACCCCCAGTGTGGAAACACTCAAAGTTAGAGAGCATCAGAGTTGATGCAATCTGGTTTGCGAGGCGAGGGGGAGAGTTTTACCTAGGAGCAGCAACTTGACCGTCCTGGCATCACGCTCAGCGTCTTCCTGCAGCTTTTTCTCCAGTTCTCTGGACCTTTTGGCTGACTCCTTGCTCTCGGAACTCATTCCACTTCCCATCTTGTGGCGAGGGGCAGCACAACTGTCGGGGGTCTGCTCACACTCTTCCAGGGCAGAGAGCAGCTCCGGTGTGGACGCAGGTCTCGAGCAGAGTGTGCTGAAGTGGCCCACAGAGCCCGTCTCACCCTGGAGGACTCTGTTTTGATGAGGAGACGTTTTCCCACGTCACCTGACTGAGGGCAAAAGCACAGGCTGGATGGGCACTGACAGGGAAATTCATTAGGCTTTCAAATTCCATGGTTGCTCTGGCACGTCTTCAAAAGCATGCTTATCTGACCTAAGGAGAGGCATAAACAATCTAGAAAACTACAGAAATCTGTACCATAAGGATGGTCAGCCACGGCCAATTCACAGTAGACTAATAGCCAATCCTTATTACTGAGATTAAAAGCCACTGTTACTAACTGAGATATGTGGCTCTTCGTTCTCCCTAACCTCTTCTGTCACAATCACCTTCATATTTTACTCACATTTGATGGTCAGCTTATGCTTTGAGTATACCACAATTATTGGGAAATGTTTAATACTCCAGCAAACTGGAAAACACCCTTTGTATATAAGAAATGGAAATTAACACATACAGTTCCTTATTTATATGTGTTCTGTTGCCACAAACATGGCATCCAAGGCACAATTTTCTTAAATTTTTGATTTTAGTCTCATAGGATCCATCACTAGAAATTGAGCTTTTACTGCTTGTGACACAGTCAGTCCGTCAGCACTAACTGAGGGTGTCCTGGGTGTAGACACTGACTTGGGTTCAATTTAGGCAGCGCTTTAACTCTTTAGGAACGTTAAGCCACATCTGCTAGGTGGAGGGACTCCCGCCGGTGCACCAAGAGGAGAGAACTGATATATATCTCAGAAACAATACCTGGTCTGGGTCTTACTAAAAAAATAATAGCAATAGCAGTTTGTATAACTATTTTCTGAGCCTTCTGACCAGCCATCCGGTGTTGAAAATCTTGCCGGATTCAGGGCTGAGAAACTGTGGCAGAGGTTTTGATTTCTGTGAAACATAGAGTACTTGGAAGGCAATCGGCCTGTATTTTTCTCTTAAACAGAGTTGTTTGTCCATGGCAGAAGGCACAGCTTTGTAGTATATTTTGGGATTTGCGGTTATGCCTCCCAGAGAATGCTAGCATGTAGTTAGTCCATCGACCTGTCAGAGTCACTCATGAGGATCGTCTGTAAAGTTTGAACAGGTGGGATTTCTGAATACTTCTACAACAAGGAAGTAGGCTGCCAGATTAAATACATATTTTTCTGCTTTGTTTATTCTTACCCAGTAAAAATATTGGGCTGAAGATACATAAACCTAGTCAAAGCACCCTGGATTTTATCTCTCCAAAGCCATATTAAAATGGTATAAAAAATTGGAAAGCCACATATGCAAAGATCTGTGCAAATCATGTAGCATTGCTATTATAATGCAAAGGTCCTGGCACAAGGAATGAGCTTTACACTGGCTTGCTCACCCTTGGAGGCAGAGCCCACCCCACCCCGAAGGTGATAGTAAACCACCTTTTGTGTAGAAATTCAATATACACCTTACCCTGAGTACTCAGAATTCTTGCTTGTTCCATAGAAGCAAAGAACAACAGGGTACATTTTGTAATTTGCTTTCAAGGATAAATATACCCAGAATATTTTAGCTAGGGACCCACCCAGGCTTTGGGAGGGTGTGGCCTTAGTAAGGCTTCCTAACTCAACTACCAACTAAGACTGACTGACTCTCTCAAAGGCAAGGTAGATAATGTCTTCACTGTGCAAAGACGACAGGCTCCCATGGGTCTGTGCAAACCGAGAGTCTTCCCTGGTCTCCTCTGAGACCAGGACACTATTTGCTGTGAGTGACTGAAGTCTTCCTGGCATGGAATTTCCAGGTGCGTTTGTGTTACAGGGTGGGAGACTGGAGAGCAGGGGAGGAGGAGGCTTCTCTCCTGGGCCCTGAGACACAGCCCCTCTAATGACTCTGTTCATTAACATAGCCCTTAGCTCCTATTGCTCCACTTAGGGCTGCAGATTTCTGAGGCTGGAGACATGAGGAAAGTCTAACGTGTAGACCTACTGGCGGGTGCAGCGTCCGACCTGCTTGAAGAGCCACCGAATTCAATATAGTACCTGACAAAGGAAACCTTAAGAAATCATTTCTTGCTGACAACTTGGTAGAGACCTGGAGCCATTTCCTTCCTTGTCTTCCATACGTGTCACACCTGACCCTTCTCAGCATGTGGACAATTTTAGGTGGTTACATGAAACAATCATGGAAAGGTTCAGAGTTAGCCTCGGTGTTGGTGTGTACAATGCTGCCAATTTTGAGAGAGAGAGAGAGAGAGAGAGAGAGAGGGTTTCACTATGTAGTTCATCCTGGCCTTGAACTCACTGTGCAGCCCTGGTGGCCTTGAAAGCACAGCAACACTACTGCCTCAGCCTCCCAAGTGCAGGAATTACAGGTGTGTGCCACCACGCCCAGTGCAATGCTGCCATTTAGTCCGCCATTCTCACACCTTTTCCCTGTTAAGAACAGTAGCACCATGCTTTCCTTCAGTGGATAAAGCCTCCTGCATGGCGCGACAGCCTACAGGATGCTGTTAGAGGAAGGAAATTAAGTTAGATGGGAGGAACAGAGAGAGGTGTGATCTTAAACATGTGAAACTTCATAAAGGTGTCCAAAATGCCATGGTATTGGTGTTGTACATGGTGGTCAATGAAAGAGATTGTTCTGTACACACACGCACACACACACACACACACGTGTGTGCACAAGCCCATTCATATACACACAAAATACAAGTAAAACTGTATTGGAGCACAGTGCCCTTTGAGAGGAATCATTGAAGATGATTCCTGGTTTTCTGCTTGACTGAAAACACAGTATTGGCCCAAGTGGTGCTGTTGGGAACACAGCTGACTGGAGACTGAGGAGCTGAACACAGAGAGAAAAGCTTCTCTGACTAATTCACAGAAACCTGGGGAGTGGGCATCATAGCTTTTGCTATTTTGGGGGAGGCCTGTGGGATCTTCAGAGGGGACAATAGGTCATGGAAAGCTCGAGTAGTCACTATTGTGTGTTTCCAACTCAACACAACCCGAGCTGCCCTGCTTTGAATCAGCAGGCTCCAACCTGTGCTTTCAGGGAGGTCTCTTATCCACATGAATCCATGGCCATCAGCTGGACTTCCATGGAGAGGGTTCTTGTGGCTGGCCCCAGGAGCGGCTTTTGTGGCTCTGATGCTGCTGGGAATCACCAGGGTGGGCTGGCATCGATGCTGCCCTTTCTCCGGTTTCCATGTTCTGGAAGAGCTGTTGATTTCAGGCACCGCGTCCTGGGAGGTTTGGGTCCTGCCTGCCTTAGCAATGACCTTTCTTCTCGAAAGGTCCCCTACACAGGCCGAAGAGCATCCACCTTCGCTAAGGGTACCCACATGTGCAGTTCTGGGAGCTCGAGCTGGGGCCTGCCAGCTTCCTGAGGGCACTCTTCACTCCCGAGGGAAAGGGCAATGCATGCTGCTCCGAGCCAGGGTGTTCAGGCGGTCAGAGATCAGTGCACAGGGCCAACACCATGCTGTGGTCTAAATTAACACACCGTGTGCCAGCCTGGATCCCCTCAACTCCACATTCATCATTACTTTTTTCTTGCTGAGAAAACAAGCAGGTACCATTGATTAGTGCTGTCCTGTACCTCACTCCTGGTCCCACGGGTTAGCAGTTTGGTTAGCACTACCAGAATCCCAAAATACAGCTCCAGCGCTTTGCATAACTCATTGTCTTTCCAGGGAGGTGCCTATGTCTTTCTTTCTTCACTAAGAGGGTCCTATGTCTCCACAGGTGACTTTCCTAATCGTGCCCATTCTTCAGGAAAGCTTCCGCTCTGTGGGAGTGCCTGCCACCACCTGAGGGCCTGCATCTTTACTTCTCAGATTTCTGAAAGGCACCTGCTGCCTGTTGTCCGCACGCTTTCCCCTGACCATGTCCTCTAGTTCTTTTCCCCCATGTGCAAGCTCTAAGCTGATGGGACACCGAAGCAATCTTGAGTGTTGGACTAAGTGTGCACTGGTCACCATGGTACCATATACCTCTTTACTCCTCCCTGGAAGTGCATAGTTATTGTGCCGAAATGACTGTAAGAATGAAACATTAAAATTATAAAATTGCAAGCATTATGGGCCGGGGATTTAGCCCAGTGGTTCCACTGCCTGCCTTGCAAGCATAAGTTCCCTGGTTCAGTCCCCCGGTACTAAAAATAAAAATAAAAAAGAATTACTTATCCAATAGTTCATCTCTTGTGTCCTAGGCATGGCAGATTCAACAGTAAACAGAACATTGCGGTATGTGACTTCACACAGCTTAAACTGGAGGGTTTGTGTGTGTGGAGTAGGGAGTTCATACAAAAGAAAAGCAAAATGAGTATGTTCAGTATATAGACATATACATAACAACAAGTACCAAGACAAGATAACTAGAGAATAGAGATAAAGCTATAATGGTGCTGGTAAAATGAGGGATTAGAGAGAGAGAGGGTGTGTGTGTGTGTGTGTGTGTGTGTGTGTGTGCGTGTAACTGGGGAGTGACTCTAGGGGTTTTGCCCTTAGCGACGTCCCCAGCCCCTCTCTCCATCCCTCCCCCTGTCCTTCCCCCTCTCCTCTTTTGTGACAGATTCTCAGGGTCTTGCTAAGTTGTTAAGTTGCCCAGTGCTCCTGCCTCACCCTCCCACAGTATTGGGAGTATGAGCTTTCACCTCTATTCTCAACTGAGGGTTAGAATATTATGAAACCTGTCCAGGGAAGGCCTTTCTGGAGATGTAATTGTACTGCATTAGGGTCTCTAGAAATTACTCCTGAGAGTGTAGGCAGACAGCGTGCCCCTAATGAGCAGCAGGAGCCAGTGAAGGCACAGACAGCCAGGAAGAGACGAAGAGGCTGGACTGCAGTGCGGCTGCAGCAGGGACCTGGGCCAGGGCCTGGGGAGAACCACAGCAGTCCTTTGGTCTACTCTGCAGCCAGGCCAGAAGTCCGGACCGACCCTGTGGGTTTGCCTGGGGAGAGCTCGGAGTTCGTCGGAGTTTGGAGGAGCCGGGTCCTCCTGAATGACGGC